ATCTATCTATCTATCTCTCCATCTATCTATCTATCTATCTCTCCATCTATCTATCTATCTCTCCATCTATCTATCTATCTCTCCATCTATCTATCTTCCTTTTGCTCATGAGTCTATATGTTTTTTCGATACATATGCTAATGGTTGCTTTACATTTCATTACTTTGTGATAATGTACCTTATAGTGCCTTTAACTCGGGCCTGCAGTGCACACTTCCCGTCAATATCACTGGATTTATGGCTTCATTGTGTGCAACAGATTATTGCTTCAGCAGCTCTCACGTAAACACACACACACACACACACACACACACACACACACACACACACACACACACACACACACACACACACACACACACACACACACACACACACACACACACACACACACACACACACACACACACACACACACACACACACACACACACACACACACACACACACACACACACACACACACACTGTAGAAGTGACACAAGGATAGTAACACAAATGAACTATCAAATACCAAAGATACACACATAGTGTATATTACAGAGCTAATGTGAAATTCAAATCTACAAACTGTTTTTGCTGATTTGAATGTACATTTTTAACCCTTGACTTTCTCTCCCGTCCCAAAACGGGGCAAAAACCGGAGTCATGATCTCATCCAGGAAGTGTAACAGGACTTCCATCATGTGACGTTATCAGTTGCAGCTGGCCCTAAGCAAAGAGTTATCCATCTGTTCCTCTTTCTCTTCGTCTCTCTTCCTTTCTTACATTTCTTTTTTCTCAAATTGCACATTCCGTGCGCAGTGGAGATGAATGTGACCCTCTCCTCCTCTGCCCTCTGTATTGAGTGTGTCTCAGTGTAAATAAATGCTCTCTCCTCTTCCTTCTCCATCATCTTCTCTTTCCAGCTCTCAGTATTCTGTGTGTTCCCTCTCCTAACCTCCCCTCCTTGTATTTTTCTTGCAGCGGGCGCATACATTATAAGGATATGTACAGTTTATTGCGAGTTATCTCCCCTCCCCTGGGCCTTGGCAAGAAATGCCCACATAGGGTGGCCTGCAAGGTTTGGACTGAACCCCTAAAGCACAAACTTAAACGCAACCTGCTCGCCTTTAAGAGACTGGAATGAATGTCGCCCTTTATCACTTTTAGAACAAATCTTTTAGTACTTTTCAACTTTTTCATTTGGTTTGATTTTTCTGTTTGGGTTTGCATTATTCAGTTTTTTTTTTAATCATTTCACCATTAAACCATTTTGGGGCAGGGTTTCTGTTGTATATGCATTCTGACCATGAATGAGAATGTTTGGGACAATGCAGAAATGCACACACACACTCTTGTACGCAATCCCGCACACACACACATCGATATCGGTGTGTGACGCATGAGATGGTGCACTGCACTCGCTATTGTCTTCTGACTGAACGCTGGGAAAATGACAATGATGTGTTCACTTTTTATACACTATTACGTACAAACACCAGAGTTGAGACTCTAGCCATTGTTTTTTATTTCTGCTTGCTGTCTAATTTTGCCTGTGCAGAAAAAATGGTTGAGCAATGTGAATTGTTCTTGTTTGAGTTGGGGTTTGGGTGATGGGGGGGGGGGTACAGAGACTTTAGTACAGAGACTTATGCAGAGAGGGCTTGGTCTGAGTACTGTCAACATGCTAACGTATGTAGCTGTTAGCTCGTGCTTTCCAGCCATGTGTCATCGAGGCTCATGAGTCTGCAGGTTAGTTTGGTTTGTTGTAATGTAAAGACTGCAGACACTTGTGCATCCATGGCACATGTTTGTAAACCACTGTCCTCAAATACAATATTTTTAATTGTAAAGCCGCTATGTGTACTGAAAGTCTGAATTCCTCTACCGGCCCTTAAACAAGTTTTAAATAAAAATTACTAAAAGTGTTTAATAAAATTGTCAAATAGTTTTCAATATGATTGTATTGCTCTTAAATGTATTTCTAATGTTGTATTAATTTCACATTATTAAGAGGGATGTATGTCTTGATTGTACATGTGAGTAAATGCATGTACTTAAATTAGTTATAGGACTTTTTTTAATTAATACTATTTGTCTTTCACACTTCTGCCAGTATGACTGCAAACTGGTGTTTTTACAATATAGTCCTTAAAGTCTTAGAACCTAACTGTAACTGATTGAACCCTGCAGAAACCCTCTCCTACACATAGTGGCTTTATGATTAAAGGAATAAACACAACTGTTAGGCCTGTTACACGCTCTACATAAAGAGTGCACAGCAATGAGAAGGGACATTAGCAGATTTCAATGCACAGTTAAATATATGAAGTCCCAAATGTGTTAAAAACCTGGAGAAATAGCAAGCTCTTTGGCCATTTTGATGGTATATATATCCAGGCCTCACGTTGTTGTTCGTGTTGGCACAGTGGAGAATGTAACCGGCCTTCAAGTAACAGATTATATTTTCTGGGTTCTTGAAATACTATGATAAAATGGCCAAACCTGCTCTGTTTGTGGCTCTGGTGTTCGGGGAAAGAAGGAAAGGGGCAGGGTGTGTGTGTGGTTTGGGGCAGGGACTCTGGACATCAGAAGGTCTTGTGTCCACCAGGAACCTCTCAACAACTTCCTGTGTCAACGGAGGCTCATGGGAAGGGATCAAGGTCTCTTTAATGTGCTGCAGCCGATTGGTCAGTTCGCCCAAATCATTGAAAACGATAATCTACAACTTACCCCTGGTGATATTCAGCCATGCACATACAGTATGTTCAGTTCTATATGCTGAGGCCACTGAGCTCAGGTGCTTTGTTAATAGGATGAGACAAGTTGAGCTGTACATCATTACAGTCGCAATCAAATGACAGTTAAACAAATGCATGGGGTTTTAAGGGCCTGGGGGACGTAATACAATTCATAAAAACGAAATCTACGGACCGTGACGTTTACACATATTTATGCACATTTGAGTGTTGACATGTTCGTTCAACAATGATTGCCTTCAAAGTTATAATAAATAAACAAAACATAAGCAACACTCACATCAATTAAACGCATTGGGAACGCTAGCAGCTCGTTTGGCTTTCCCATTCTGACTTTTGATGTCTGGTGCCTTATCCTTTTTAGAGTTTATTTGGGCATTCTTCACTTAATTATTTTCAGTTGATGTGGGTTGCCCTTTTATGAGGATTGCAGCAGCGTTTAACACTAGAACCGCCAACGGGTACATTTTACCCGCAGTTGTTTTTTGATTGTATGTAACTTTTGTTCCATAACATATTAAAGTCTCCCAGTCCTTGACTTTTCCTGAAAGTGTGTTATGTAGCACCCTCTGTTGTTAAAAATTGTTAATAGGAAGTCAGATTGAAAAAAATCGCCAAATAAATTGCCATTTATAGCCATATCCGTCAGCGGGTAATATTTACCTCATAGAAAATGCAGCGTAAACATGACGTGTTGTTATAGCAACGCCTTTTGTCTACTGCGGTTCCTTATAGATATAGATAGATATATTGATAGATAGATAGAGAGAGAGAGAGATAGATATATAGTTATAGATAGTGTAACATCTTGGAGAATACAAGATCTTGGATGACTGAGCTCACGTTGAGGACNTGACGTGTTGCTATAGCAACGCCTTTTGTCTACTGCGGTTCCTTATAGATAGAGAGACAGAGAGAGAGAGATAGATAGATAGATATATTGATAGATGGATAGAGAGATAGATAGACGGATAGATAGTTATAGATAGTGTAACATCTTGGAGAATACAAGATCTTGGATGACTGAGCTCACGTTGAGGACCTAATGCATGTGTGCAGGTTACGTGCCAGTTGAATAAAGATGGACACTCGGAATGAGAGAAGTAGTCTATTTATGTAGACAATTATATGTTCATAGAACAGAACATTACAGATATATCGATAGAGAGATTTGTACCTAAACAAAACACAAGTCTAACACCAAGCGTTTAAATCAGCACTCTTAGCGATATTTTATACTTCATGCTATCTGCACAAACTATATCATATGAAAAGCTGAGAGTCCACAGATTCTATTGGTATAAGTTTCATCCCTGTGTGATCAAAACTCACTGTTCTGTATGATAAATAAAAGAACATTGTACCTTGAAAATCTATAGCGGGTACATTTTACCCGTTGGCGGTTTTAGGTATACAGCGACCTCTGGCGGTCCTAGTGTTAATTTCCTTGAACGATTGGATTAATCATTTTAAGGATAACAGGAAAAGATATTGGTTATAGAGACCCAATATGATTTACATTTCCTGAGCCATTGGTCATACTTAACTTTCGTTGTATGAGCTTTTTCAGAGCTGTGAGACCATGTTATGTCACTGACGCTGTGAGGTCATTATTCGCCACACTCTTTGATTTATACTCCCCTTTTTTTTACCTACATGAACCGAAAAAACAGGCTTTGACTTTAATTGGTAACACTGGGACACTGTTCAAAGCTTTGAGCACCATTACCTTGACCAGTTCACTTTCCTTTGTAACCCAAGTGGATACACATTTCAAGGCTAGGGTTAGGGTTAGGGTTAGGGTACGGGTATTATATCTCAAACTGGGCACATTAAACTGGGCACATTAAACGGAAGTGATCTGCAAAGTGGGAAAGGTAAGTTCGGAAGCATTCAGTGATGTGGGTGAACTGACCTTCTAAAAGTGAATGTCTGCTGTTAGCACTGTCCCCACGCTTCCTGTCTTCATACGGGTGTCCACGAACGTCCGGAGACGCAGGTGTGAGCGGAGGTTCCCGGCGGACACGCATCCTCAGCTACAGACTGCATTGACTTGTCATTGTGACTCACTCCGACCTCTGCAGCGGTGCTTTTCTTTGCCTGCTAGAAGCCCCGCTGCCAGTTCTATCCGAGCGGCGAAAGAGGGCAGAGACCAACAAAACAAAAAATCACAAATCCCCTTTTCACCTCGTATAGAACGGTATCTCAACAACTAACTAAACTAAATAACACCTCCTCCTCCAATTCTCCCCTTCTCCCCCCAACCCTTCTACCTCCCTCCCTTCCTTCCTTCCTCTCCTCTCCCCCTACTTTATGATAAACCAGACTAGAAGCCACGTAACACACTCCTTCGATCTCTCTCTCTCTCTCTTGCTTTCTCTCTTTCTCTCACCATAGCAACCACATATCCAAAGCGGTCAAAACAATAACCTCTGTGTATTTGTTTCCCCCCCTCTTCCTTTCCTTTGTCGGTTCCTTTCTTTTTTCCCCTCATGTCTCCTCATCCAAAAACACCTCTGTGCGTCTGCGTCCCNCAACCCACCACCCCACCTCCTCCTCTCCCTTCCTACTCCCATCATTACTCTCCTCTCTCCTTTCCCCCCTCCCATCTCCGTCTTTAAACCTCCCCATCGCGTGGGAGTAGATCCTTTCCTCTCCTATCTGCTGAAATATTCTCCTCCTCCACCTCCCTCCCTCCCTCCCTCCTCCCAGCGGTGTTCTCCTCATTGTCTGTTAGTGGTGGTTGTGGTGGTGGTGAGCGCTGTCCTCTCTTCTCTCTCTCCGACCGCGGGGATGGAGGGATGGGCTTTTGTCGTGCAGTGAAGTGATAGTGGAGTGGTAGTCAATCCTCTTTCTTTTATTTCCTCCCGTCAGGCCGCAGGAGCAAGGGAACGGAGGAGGCTTTGCCAGTCCTTCTGCAACCTGCACGGACGCATGCACTCGCCAAAATCACGTCCGGAAAGACATAGAGAGAGCACAGATCTGACAAAGAATTCAATTTTTCCTTCACAAATTAAGGATCTTCCAAACTAGGACAAAATGCCACACTGGATCTGGCAGTATATGAAGATATTTGATACGCTTTTTCGACCAAGGCTGAGATTTAAGGCAAGAAAGCACATTTTCACAGGCACTAAAATTTACTGCACAATAAAAAATAAAAAAAAGAACATCCTGTAAACGGCGGTCAAAGACTCCAGGACAATCAACTACCTGTGGTCATTACTGGTATTCTCTGAAAGCATATATATGGAATTAGGTATGCATTGTATTGTTTCACGATAAGAAACGTAAATACTTTAGAGTAGAGGCCCAAAAACAAACGTCTGAAGTGCAACTATTTGCTTACGATGCGGCTACAGAAGGACCAGCAAGAGTGTCTGTCTTCAGTTCTCTGCGTCTCTTATTCCTGTGGATGGCACAAGAGTGCAAACATAATCATGCCCGTGTTACTGTACCACACAATTACAGTGGGCTCAAACAAATAATAATAATAATGCCTTATGACATGAGTTGGAAAAGATCTGGCCCTTCTAGTTTTTTGTCTGTCTTCAACGGTTTTTTTCTTCCGCCACCCAAGGATACGTCCACGTCTTTGACTTCTCTTGTTGGCTCAGACCACCAGGATAAAGATTTTAGCATATGCTGCCTCGTTGTCCACTCTTTGTCTCCAATTCAGACATGTACTCTGTCTATCTTCTCTTTCTCTTTCTTATTGGCATCCAGATTCATTAAAATAGTATTGGAAAGTTAATGTAACTATAATTAGACCCTCCAGAAAAACGCGATTCTGTGATCGCAGAATTTACCGCATAATCAGCAAAATGGCGCAGATTTTTAAAAGGCCGTATATTTATCAAAAAGCCGCATATTCCCCGCATTTTTCCACACAAAGTTAAGAAAAAAAAAGTTAACTCGTCTTGACGTGACGTCATCAGCTCGCGCATCACAGAATGTAAACAACACTGTATAGAGTGAACGTGTGGAGCTCACACGATAGAGAAAACACCAAGATGAAAAAATCTAATCCATCTCATTTACCGACGAACATTTCTACTAAAGACCGGGCAAAAAGTGGGGGGAAACTATTCTGCACCCCGTGCAACTGTGTGTTGGAGCATAAGAGAAAATCGACGTGACGACCCACTTTCATTCATTCAAACATTCGAAAATGCTTTCTGCTGCTGCGGACAAGAAAGCCATTCAACTAACGTTCACCGAGGCATCAACCTCCAAAACCCTTTCGAGGGCTACAAGAAACTAAGTGAGTAGCCTACAAGATTGAAGCTGCAGATAACGAACGAGTAAATGAAAACAGAATGAGGCGGAGAAGTGTGTGTGGGGGGGGGGGTGTGAGATTAAAATAGCCCAATTGCTTTTACAATAAATAAACATTGAATGTGTTTAATTGAATAGTAAAGGTGTTTAACGTTAGTGGCAGGTTGTGTGTGAGAGAGAATAAATAAGACAGCCCAATATTTAAAAAAGTTGTTATTCTTTTTTCCCGCATATTTAGCATGTTTCGCAACTTTCCGCATATTTCGCAACTTCCCGCAATTTCACCGCATAAAATCACATAAAAACCCCGCATGTTTAATCGCATAATCAAGGATTTTAGCCCGCGTTTTTCTGGAGGGTCTATATAATGTTCTCTTATCATATTTGTGTTGCCAAGAAGTTCAAAAACGAGCAATACTCCTGTCATTACTACAAGTGAGAAGCATCAGCTGTAAAGTTATATAGTTTCTACATAAGCTAACATATTCGCACTCATGTTTTATTTGTAATTTCCTATGTTAAACTAAAATAGTCTAGAGTTGACTTTTAGATAAAGGTTTCGATACTCGATGGACATATTTTGGTCAATACCAGAAAGCTAATGAAGCCCTAGTTTGAAATCTCTTCCACCTTGCCAAAGTTGCTTAGTTACCGGCATTACAATACGAACGACAAAGTAATATATTCTGTAAACAAGATGACTTGGATGAAATTGTACAATCTCTATGTTGTGCTAAACTTTATCGAGTCTGGATGTCAGTCTCTTTCTAGTTTTCTTTATTCTTTTCGACCTGTTCTCCACGTCATCTTTTAACAACCGTTGTTCTCTCTTTTTTTCTACCTGTCAAATTTCTATCTTTCTGTCAATCTTCTGTCCTTCTGCCTCCACTTGTCTGTCAGCAATCAGCCTCCATCTTCATTTCTTCACAGCATCCCTCTGTCCATCTCTGTCTCTACCTTACCTCTCCGTTCTGTTCTTGATTCTTCTTCTGTCCAGAATGTCGACTTGTATCGGCCGTGATACCCATCACATACTTCAGCCATCAAAGCCCTCCAGTATTCACTGACAGAGTTTCACAGAGAAAGTCCATTGAAGGACATATTGAGATCAGAAGTCCTGAGGGTTTCTTGTCAGATCAGAGAGGGGAAGTTTTAGACATCTGCAACCTTTTAGTAATCGATCAATCACAATGCTCAGGCATCGATCTCCCCTCAAGTGAACACTAAGGGTCGCCCTTCCTGGAAAGAGTAGTTTTGATATCTGCGCATCGCAACTGACCTCTTCCTAGTAAACTTCTGTCAGTGTTGTTTAAGTCCTTGTCTTTATCTCTTGTCTTGTTCCGTAATTTTCAGCCTCTCTCTTCTATTTCTTGTCTATTTACACACACACACACACACACACACACACACACACACACACACACACACACACACACACACACACACACACACACACACACACACACAGACCTCTCCCCTTTGTTTCCGATTGACCAACGTTCTCTTGATTCCTCTTTCAGTGTTCTCACGTTCCTCCTTTACCTTTCATTCTCGCCCTTCCCTTTATATCTGTAACCACATCTCATGACCAAGCTTAGAGCCGCCTAGTTTAACCCAACTAACTGCTGTCCCTATCACGTGTGTCTTTTGAAAGACCCCTTCCCCTTCCCCACAGTACTACTACCATAAAGTCTGGTTGGTCCAAAACAAAAACAGAAAGAACGTCAATCATCTTTTTTTGATCTTCTCTATGATTTTTTTTCTTCTTTCAGGGAATGCCACAACTCGAATACTCTCTAACTTTGACACCCCCTAAAGACAACCGTTTGGCATTGAGAGAGATCTTGACTTGATACGAAATACTATCGCCATTTGACTTTGATTAAGGGAACCATGAATGTAAAAATGTAGTATGTAATGAATTAGTCAACCAGTAGTATCAATCCAGTTGGATTGGGGATACTCTCTTTGTGCGGATGCACGGCTACTTGTTTTTGTGAAATGGGGTTTTTAGGGAAGTCGGGGGGGGGGAATAGTGGGATGGGAAGGTGGGAAAAGTCGGGTCTTAGAAATTGGGAGTGAAGTAAAGGCATGTTGCATGTGTGTCTGGGTTTGTGGCATTTTTCTAGGGGGGTTGTGTTGCATGCAATCGTCGCACTCTTTGTCGCATGGCTATGGGCGACATTGAGCCTGCCTGCTGCCTGCAGAGCGCTGTGGATGTTGGCCGATGCCCTCCGCCTGCCTGGGCTCTGGGCATGCCTGACACTCACACACACTCAGGAACACACAAGCATGCACACAACCCAATCGCCATTGTACTACCGTGCTTGCCATCGTGAGTGCCCAACGCTCATGTTCGTAGGTAAATCCAATGGATGCCAACTGGACGGGATAGAACCGGCAAGCGACCCTAGCTAGGGCAGCTTGCTTTGTTCTATCCGCAGGTTGCTCCATTGGTTTTACCTGGTACAGTATAAACTTGTTAAGACAGGGAACCTCCTTACAGGTAGGGGGAGCTCTATAGAAGATGCCTCAGCTAAATGAAACCCCAGCAGTCTCCTGAAAAAATAGCAGAATTACACCAGTGATACTGTTATTGTTCTCCAGTCGACTTATTTTGTCAAAGGACTCCAATTAAGCGCACTTAATTGGAGTCTGTGAAAATAATTGTCTGTAAGTGGGTGGGGGGGTATGTTGGGGGTTGGAGGGGGGTGTGGTGTATGTGTACTGTTTTATATATATCTACATGTGTGTAACAACAGAGATGTGTAAATGCGGCAATGCATTCACACATTTAGGGAACATGGGCACAGGTTGGGTCGGAGGCCATTTTGGCTCCGATTGTTCTTCCTTGTGGTTCTCGGCTCTCACAGTTGCTTAGCAGCAGATGGCCCTCTTTGGATAGCTGTGCTGTTTCGTAGAGTATCACTGGAAACACAGGAGACGCAAATAATCATCTTTTCAAGTTTCTTTCCTTCAGCAAACACATACATTGATCAAATTAAGAAAACTACAGCACACTTGGAAATACACATAAATGTTCGGAAGCCACCTTGAGTTGAATTTCACTGATTTGACCTATTAGGCTACATTAATCAGATATTGGAAGCTAGTTTTCTTTGTCATGCCCCCTATTTGTTTGAAAAACCCCGGATGAATCTACTCCACCTCTAATTGGCTATCGTCTATAGAGCTCTCTCAACCGCGTCCCCAACCCTTTACCCTCTCCCCTCTCCCGGAGTTTCAGGCAAACCACACTTTAGCTCGGACACGTCCCTTTCTTATCCTCTCATCCTTACTGGCTTTCCACAGAGGCTGCTGCGCATGGATCTGCCAGTTGCAGGTGACAACTCGGTGCATTTTAACTCCACCCTCATGGCTCTGATCAGGACAGCACTGGATATAAAGATTGCCAAGGGTATGGCCCTCAAGTACTATCATCCCTTTTCTCTAATTGTTCATCAATGTTATTCTATTGTCTGGTATTCTTCGGGATTCCTTGGTAATTCTTGGGTATGCCCTTTAACCTCTCAATTTGTGTCTGTTTCTCTTCAACAAGAAAGCTCTTTATTATTGTACACAATATGACAAAACTCTGCCATTTCTGACATTAACAAATAATCTTTTTGTTTTGGGTGAATGTGTTTACGCGTGAATGGCTAAATATATTTATTTTGCGATTCTGTGCCTTTGTGCCTTCCTGTTTGGTCTGTACCTTCTTGCCCTATGTTTATGTGTGGGGGGTGTTTGCAATTGTGTGGACCGGTTTGTTTGTTTGTGTGTGTGTGTGTGTGTGTGTGTGTGTGTGTGTGCGTGTGTGGGCATTCTGGTTTGCCGGGCAACCCAGGCGGTGCAGACAAACACCAGATGGATGCTGAGCTGAGAAAGGAGATGATGGCTATTTGGCCAAACTTGTCGCAGAAGACTCTGGACTTGCTGGTTACACCGCACAAGGGTAAGTTGCTAAAAAAATGGCGCATAGTGGTGTGTGTGTCTTCGATCACCAACTCACCGAGAGGACAGCTTCTACCAGCCAGTGTCATTCACTGCTTCGCATCTCCTGATCAGGATACTCCAGGATAAACACATATATGCATAAATACATATATACACCAATGTAGATTATGTATATAGAAAAGTACCTCCAATACTGTAGCATAGAGCAACATATCTATGGCAGGCATTTAGTGTAAAGATCCAATGCAGTTAGCTACTTACTGGCAAGATATGTAAAAACAATCATTATGTTTGCCGTCAACATTCATTGCCCACAGAGCATGGACCAAAGTGGTTTTGGTCAAGCCATACCAATAAAGTACATTGTGGTTCCTGGGGTTGATGAACTCTCAGAAACAGGAAAGCATAGCCTTTGTCCTAATGGCCATCATCATCATGACGAAATGTGATGTATTTAGCCTCAAGACTGGTAATGATCTGATTAGTGTGTTAGTGTGATGGAGATTATAGAGTTTGGGGGCTGCTTTTGTTACACATGCTTACACAGTAACTCATTTAGTCTCCTCAACAATAGAGGAGCTAAAGACCAAACCAAAGATTCAGAGTCATAGGTTTAGAGACAGAACCGATAACTGGTTTCCCATTCATGAATACAGCAACGTGTAGAAAGGGCTTTCGAAGTGATGTGTTGTTCAACTGAGCTTAAGGCTATATGATCCACAACATATGCAGCTACCTGAACCCTGGCGCAAGTAGTAGGGGGTCCCTGCTCCGTCTCCCTTTGAGCTAAGGGATCCTTTGGTCACATAGGTGTACACAAACACATAGATCACCGACAGTAGCACAAACACTCATCTCTACACACATCAAGACGATCCTGGTATCAGGGGGTGCCAACTATAGAAGATCCTCTATAGAAGTCTTTTCACTACAGGAAGAATTGAGCATTTAGATCTAGCCTAAAACGTTTATATCAAATGCTTGCGATGAATGAAGATGAATGCATTTTCAGTTAGATCTGTTTGAGAATTTGAATGATTTAAGCACAAGCTAGTAAAAATGATGCATGCATAGCAAAAGCACCATGATGTTTGGCTAAAAGCATGGAAGAGAAAATGGTTTATCACACACATCGGTATGAGATATGTGTGGTCCTTTCTTATCACACGTTATAATGTGTTTTTAATGCTGGAAGACTTGGAGCCATGCCACTTTGAAAAGGTCACCACTCCTTTATTTAGCCACCAAAACAAAGCTCAACATTTTTTTCTGATTATTAATGTGTTTCATCCAAACTCTGGGGATACTTGTCCGGAGTTTTTAGAAAAAAATGGAGTTCCTGTTTTCTCCCGGATTTGACTGAGGTGTCAACGTGTTTCTTAGTGAGGTGGCTACCTGGTCCTCAGCCTTAATATGAAGGTTAAATATGTTAACGGTTGATTCAGTTAGATGATAGTGAAAGAGAATGCTACTTGAAATGGTTCAGCATCTGCCTGTGAAAAGACTATTGGCCTTGTTGTATTGTATTTGGTGGTTGCACACCAGCAAGAGGGCACAGTTCTGTTTCAGTTACGGCTTCACATAGATTGTGGTTACCAATTATGCTCCAAGACACCAAAAGACAATTAAATGTTTTGTTTGAAGGCGTCTTAACAGCAACAAAAATGTGGCAATTAACTTTTTTTTCTTGGTGAATCAGGAAAATGCTTGCAGCACATAGGAACTCATCGTCAGCATTTAAACAGATCCTTTGCTTTGTCCTGCCCGATTATACATAAAGTTGTATATTATGATGTTAGCCTATTTAGCCGGTCCGACAGTTTGCAGCATGAGCTTTTTAGATTTTCAGTAGGGATGTCCCGATCACCTTTTTTTGCTCCCATCCGATTCCGATCATTTGATTTTGACAATTTGCCGATACCGATTTTTCCCGATCCGATCTTTATGCAATGCATTAAGAGAAAAAAAAGAAAAAAAGCATTCAAGTTGTCCCTTAAGATTATTTTTTTATTTAAATTGGATATTCTATCCAACATGGATATAGCTTCTTTCTTTCACAGCAGCATTGGATCAGTTCAGTTGTGCAGCATTGGATCAAAACAAAATAAAGCTTATCAGTACTCGTTAGCTTACTGCTACAATTAGACACTGCGCCCTGCCCACTCTGTTGCCAGATTTGAGAGAAATAAGCAACCAGGTCTATGAAAACAAGCCCCAAAGAAGCAACACATACATGATGTTGTGTAATTTGAAACCAAAACTAAGGCCTCAGGATGACTTTAAGACTTGAACATGGTCATTTTTGTCTTGTAACATTGAATACAAAATAAAAATAAAGTATTTAAAAAAATAAATAATTCCCGATCCCCGATTTTTTTTCTCCCGATTCCGATCTTTTGAAAATCACGTGATCGGCTCCGATCCCCGATCACGTGATCGGATCGGGACATCTCTAATTTTCAGAGCTGAAGTAATGCATTGAATAAGCCCTGTGTTGGATAGATCTATTAGCCGATGAGAATGAGGTTTTGTGTCCCAAAGGGAAGCTCACAAGCATGACTGTAAATATGCTTGCCCACATTTGATGATATCTACAATAACACATGTGAAAGTCCAAGCATGTCCCTCTGAACGTGGGGAAAGCAATGACAGTATTTTGATCCTCCAACACAGCGTTCTTTGCTTACAATTATTGGTAACCACTGACCAAATATTCTGTGAGCTGAAGATTAAAATACCCAAACCTCCGAATTTGGTGAGAATTATGTTTAAATTCTTGATATCTTGCAGCTCGAGCACTTGATTTTGAAGCTGACGTCTCAGAATTGTCCCGACTGCTGGAGTTTGCTGCATGTAGTTGTAAATGTCGTGCGTCACGTCCCCCACTCCCATTCCCCCCCCCACGGCTCAGGGTCCCATCTCGCTCGGGTCTAATCTTGCAGGGTAACTTGTCATTTTCTCAGCAGCCACAGACTTGACGGTCGGCAAAATCTACGCCGCCATGATGATCATGGAGTACTACCGGCAGAGCAAGACGAAAAAGCTGCAGGCCCTGCGAGAGGAACAGGTAGACTCCATCACAGAGAACTTGCCTGAACGCCAACAGACCTTTTCCTCTTCCGCCTTCGGCCCTCTTTGTTGAGCCTGCTTCCACTAAGCCCTTGGAGTGAATTTGCCTTGATATATCATTTTAAAAGAAATAGTCCTACAGCCACACTTCCAAACAAACCCCCTCTTCTTCTGCTTTCTTTCCATCACCTGTTTCCTCAGCCTGTGCGTTACCCTTTTCTTAGCATGTTCCTTAAAAACCTACGTCCCTTTATCTAGCACCTTGTTGCTCCCTTGGCCAGCCCTATTCCTTTTATAATGCTGCTTTTCTCTTCCTGTTCACCACGGGCTGTTTGCTCGTGGTGAACAGGATTACACAGGTTTACCAACCATGGTTTTTGTTGTTTTGAGCAATGATGATGATGATGATACCACATGGCCTTATCTTTTGTTCCCTGTCAGTGCCCCTTCCCCCTCTCGTCAATGAATGCCTTTGAGATGCACTTGCTCCCGCTGTATCTGTATTTTGAATCCACTCTCGAAACATCTTTCCATTCATGTAACACCTCCCATTAGCTCCAGCAAATCATCCATTTAGTTCAGCACTTTATCGTGAAACTGACAAGATTCGACCAAGTCCAAATTCACTCAAGATGTTGTCTTGATTGAATTTGACTTCTTAGACTTAGACTCTTTCTTACGATGGGATTTCCATTTTGCCGAACAAAGGAGAGGTCTAATGAATGGAGAGGTTGTTACTCTTTTTCTTTCAAACAGTGCAAATACAGCTTGTGTTGATTTATTCTTGAATGCAGCCATCCCATTGGACTGAATGGACAGGTTCACCCAGGCTCTCTCAACATCACCAGTACACAAGACTCTAACCAGTCTGTGTGTATGTCAATGTGTCCGGCCATCTCTACTCTATCTCACTTCATTCTACCTCTCTCCGCCCACTGTGGTCTTTGTTCTTCTATTGCCTTCCATTTAAAAGGAAGAATCCACCCAAAATGCATTTATCAAGGCGATGCCATTCGTCTTTCTGGCTTATCTAAATCAATCTCTTGTCATGTTGAGATATATACAGTACTGCGACAATGGACAGAAATATTCCTTGGCTATCTAAACCATCAGGTTTGTATCTGCCCCTTAGTATCAAATATAAGGGTGTGGCTTCAGTTGAAAAATGCCAGAAGAAAATTGCTAGGAAATGTTCTTGAAAGAATGGCCGCAAAAGGCTACGAACATATACAATCAAGACCAATCCATTTGTTAGTTCGTAGTATCTCGCAAAATGAAAACAAAAAGTCCAATTAAAGAAAACTAGGGACATGAGGAAAGGACATCAGTCAATTGGTCACAATGTCAGGGAACCAGAAAGTGGATTTTTTCTTTGATTCCTTATTTGTTGTTCTCGTCTTGCTCCCCGTCCGTTACCTGGCGTCTCAGTCGTCCTCTTCAGTGTTTGTTGGGCTGTTGTCTTGTCTCAAATATTTTGTTGACTGTCTGTCATTCTCCTGTGTTCTCAATGTTTTTCATTCCTGTCTTCCATGTCGTCTCTGTCCTTCTGATGCTCTCCCTTTATCCTTCCAGGAATAGATGAGACCTTGACTTTTTCAAGCTCTCCCTATTTGGTCAATCCAGGTCTATTGTCACCGAGTTGCTCTAACCAAAGACCCATTCTCTCCCGTCTGTGTGTTCATGAATCTGTCTGTTTACCTGTCTGTCTGCCCTGGTGGTTGGTGAGAGGTTGAGTGGAGGTTCCTGTAACCAGTGGCTCCGTATGTAATCAGTCAATCCTTGGAGAGAATTCATTGATAGATATGCCACTGCTGAAACACCCTCCATTGAAATGTCCTGTGTCTGTGTTATGTGTTTTCTGTTCATGTCTTCGCCATAATCCACCAAAGTATTTGTATCGTGAATTTTCTGAAGTAGAGCTAGCCAGAGCCAAACCAGACTATCAAGAGACAAACGTGAACCAGTTACCTCCGACACAGGAAATGACTACTGGACAGGATTAGACGCAAAGAAAGCAATACATTGAGGAAATATAAGGCTTTTAGATTACATGAAATAACCCCTTTAGCAGCAATACTGGAAAACCTCATTTCTATCCAAAGGACTTGAAGGCCAACACATACGTGAAGAATTTATGTCGACAACAAATTCATGTCATACACTCATAACAACCACAAAATGTGCTCAGATCATTTCAGTTTTTAGATCGCTGACCAAAGTTGTCTAGTAACTGGTAACTATCATAACTATCTGGTTAGCACACAAGCTAACATATTCATTAGCAATGAGCTTTTTTCGTTCCTTTGACTTATTCTTTGACGTTATGCTAACATGTCAAATGCATTTTATATCATTCATATGTATTATTCTCAGTTAAACCCACATTTCAAGTTTGTAAATAAATCTATCTGCACCTCTCTGGCAACTATAGGTTTGTTGATTTAGATTTCGACAGCATCTGCAATTAATCTACCATCCAAATAACTAGTGTTTCTATACTTAAAGTATCTTTGAATTAAGAACTCTTTAACATAGTAGCTAGACAATCCTGTCCAGCAGATCAGCCTAACGTGTCAGAGGGTTATTGGACGTGTATCTGTTTCTAAACCGGCCTCGATCCATCTGCACATTTAGCCTTTAGCTTCCAGGCTGTGGAGGATCATGACAAAATTGTAGTAGTCGCAAACTATCAACTTTAAGCCACTTTTAAGGAGGCCTCCATTACCCAGGGTTCCCTAGAAGGAAATCCTCCTGACCTCAGACCTCATGAAAGCTACAGTTCAAGTTCAGATGTCCTCTTCCCACAAATGGCATATTACTCAAAATAATTAAGGGTCACACATATTGTTGAACTATGAATTTTGAGTAAATCATATTGTTTGATTATTTGTTTCATGAGTACGGTAATCTGGTCCAAGATGTGTAATTTAAGAAAAATCTTACCTTAAATGCCTAAGGTAGAAGTTTCCCTCTGATTCAGATCTGGGATCAGCTTTCTGTCCCCGAACTTAAGCCCAAACTGATATGAAGAAATCAATCAATATATAGTTTCCCCTTAAACACTTCAGTGTGGTTAGCAGATCCCAGATCAGCAGTCTGGCAGGGAACTTTACCTTGGATACCCACAGCCATGTGTATGCCGATGGCGCCCTCGTGTGGGTGCATGCTGCGAGTGCATCCTGTGTTTGTGTCCTGTGTCTGCCCCCTGAGTGTGCCTGATGCCAGCCTGCAGGCCATGTCGTGTATCTCACACAGAACCGAACGCCATTAATGTTTCAGCGCATGGAGCCGCCCTCTGAGGGCACAGAGGGCCAGGGGGGTCAGGGTCCCAATGGCCTCCCCATCACCCAACCAGACAACCACACCATCATGTGAGTACACTGTGGAGGAAGCACGAGGCTGCACGAACGTATTTCACACACCTATTTATTGTAATCATTAATGCATTCATAACGTATGCATAAAATGACCACATAATATTTCAGGAGGGTAATTTATCAAGGTTATTTAATCCAGGTTAACCTCCGGACCTCTTTAACCAGGGTTTAAAAAGTAATGGTTGGATTTATCATTTGGTACACTGATCATTTACAGCAGGGGTGTCCAAGAATCGGCCCTCAGCAAATTCAAAAAGTATAATGAAATATGGCCCACAAATGAAACTTGTGCTTGTCTTATATTGTACTTCTTAAATGTAAATATATTACACATAGTATTCATGTGTTAATAAGACCACTTTTCAAATATAGTCAGTCAATTAAAGTTGGAAACATTTCTTAGTAAGATAGATAAGAAAAAAGCCCAATGACTTATTGACATAACAAGCTTGAAATACACCTTCATATTTCTCCTTATTATAATCAATCTGAGGCTTCTGGTTTAACAGATGAGCTGCCAACACTCACAAGCATCATCTACCTACATTTGATTGATTTTGCAAACTTATAACTGAACTTATGAGGCGATATACCTCTAGTGAGTGACCCAGCCCTTCGTATATTTTTCTGTATGTGGCCCTGGTGAAAACATGTTGGACACCCCTGCTTTTCAGCTTAACCTGAATGTTCCCAATGTGCCCAACTGTTCTCAAAAGGCGACCGTACAGAGTTCACTGTTGATGGGAGATAACCAATTGTTTAAGTGTGCGTTTACGAGAAATGAAATTCTATATAATATAAACACCAGCTTTCAAGAGATTCCATATCACGACCAAATTCATACACAGACAATTCTTAAAGTCAGCCTCTCCATTCGTCAAAGATGTCGTTTGACTGCTAGTTGACGCTGATTCCTTGAGTTCCCTGATTTGTAATCCTCTGAATTGTGTGTGTGTGTGTGTGTGTGTGTGTGTGTGTGTGTGTGTGTGTGTGTGTGTGTGTGTGTGTGTGTGTGTGTCTCTCCTCCGTCGTGTCGTCGTCGCGTCGTCGCGTGTGTGTGTGTGTGTGTGTGTGTGTGTGTGTGTGTGTGTGTGTGTGTGTGTGTGTGTGTGTGCCAGACCTCCTGAGGAAGGCATGACTGAGAGCCCCGACCGCCCCTACCCCGACGATCTGCACGACAACCGTCACAACCCGCAGGTATGATGAGCAAACAAGCATGTCGCCAACATGGTAACACACCAATTCAAGACCAGCGAGTTCTCCGCTCACACACAGCTCGTCTGCGACCATGCCGGTTACCTTTCAGTCTAGTAAAAGCATTTGAGTGCAATCAATAATGGTTTTGGTTACGCAGCTATTTTATTTGCAGGAAATATTATGGTAGAGGGAAGAATCTTTTCCTCAAAACTATTACAGTGTTTAAACTTCACATAAAAAACATAGCATTTTATCAACACAATGTTAAATTATTTAAAGTCTCTCCACCTGTTTAACTATCGGAAAGGCAATCCCATTAACAAAATGTCTGGAGCTTATTGGCGCAACCTACCCAATATGAACCAATCAAATAAGACTGTCAAGGAGAGTGACTGAGTGAAAAGTAAAAACCCATATTTTTGATTGCCTCTAAAACCCAATCTTCTGCAGAAACGTACTTGTGCAAACCCTGGGAGTTTGAAATCGTTAGCTATTTATGCTAATGTTACAATGTGAGCGTTAGCAAACAGGAAAACGTTATTATTGATAATAATATCAACAAAAGTCTTTAAGTTAATATAAGTTATTTGTTGCTTTACATGATGTTACCTACTAGGTTACAGTTATATCGTAATGAAAATCACTTAATGTAATCATGTCAGCTAATTGGCTAATGTCGTTAGCCTTGCTAGCTAACAATATTAGCAGCATAACATTTTGTGGGCTAACTTTTTAAGTGACAGTCCAATACAAATATGAAGGTTGTGTGTTAGTGGTGATATCATGTGGCTTGTTCAAACTAATGAAGGCATGCTGTTTTAAGCCCAACGTCATCACAATTTCAGAGTTCAGCCTGGAGCTTCTCAGACACTTCTCGTGGTGTCCCTCTGTCCTTTGAGACCTTTCTTTTATTCTCTCAGTCTTTTAACATGTTCCTCCTCCCTCATGGTTTTCCGTTCACTCTTCAACCTCCTCTTGAGTCCTTGGCTAGGAGTTGGTAGATGTGTTGTGTGATGTACCGGCTCTCCGCACCTTACTTCCACTTGTCTGTTGGGACATCCTCCCCAGTCCCTCATCTCTCTCTACAACCCCAACACTAATGTACTAACAGTTTAGAAGGATTTGGTTGTTTCTTTGAAAAGTTTCCAGCCCCAGTTTTGGATTATTCAGTTGGCAGAATAGTAGATCTCCCTACACTTGACTAAACGCACAACAAAGCCATTTTGTTTTAAAGATATCGCAAAAAAAATTGAGAATTATTTAAGTCCCGTAATCGTATAGTGCAAATCTGATATTGTGATAGCCCTTCACGTCGTTAGTTGGCCCCTCCCTCATTTAGTCAACAACCACCTAATTTTAAAAGTGTATTCTTCAACACAACAAAGGTTGCAAAACGCAATTTAAGTATTTTATTACTGTAATTGAAAAGGAATATTAGAAACTTTGCTCATACATCATTGTAGGGCTGTCGCGATATACCCAAATGTGCGTTAACCATGATGTCATAATAAAATAAATGATAGAATGCCTCTTAAATAATTTACATATCTTTCTGTTTGCACGCATCTCCCTACACTTGACAAACACACAACAACAAAAATAGCAATTATTTTTTTAAGATATTGTGAATTATTTAAGTCACGGTAATCGTATAGTGGACATCTGATATCGTGATAGCCCTTCATCATTGAATCTGTTTCATGTCGTTAGTTGGCCCCTCCCTCATTTAGTCGACGCCCCCTCAGCGGACAGCGGTCACGCCCCTCTCGTTGTGTTTTACAGACGGTAGAAATGAGGGAGATGGGGCGGGACGGGTACTCCGACACTGAGCCCTATCACCCAATGGATGGGCACGGGCGGACCCTCTCCATGCCCCGCCTCTCGGCAGACAACCAAGTGAGCACCTCCATCCCACCACCACCACCGACCACCCCTCATCATCATCATCATCATCCTCCATCATTACCCCTGTTAGCAGGACAGTTGAAGTGAATGGGAAAAGTCTCTCCTTGCATCTGAAACAGAGAAGAGAGCTGAGCCTCGTACGAACCAAACCCCCTCCCTTTAAATACTTAACAAACAGCCTATACTGTATACTCACAAGTTTCAAGGCGTTATAGTCATTTGCACATTAGCTACAGTGTAGATATGGCAATGAAAAACTTAGGTCACAGGCTCCTCAAACAGTGCAACATATATATAGGACATACAACAACTGTAACTGTACTGTACATACGTTTGAATAAAAAAAAAAAAATTCGTCAACTAGTTCGATATCAGATTTGTTTAAGCTGTTCTCAAACCTGTGTAATCAAATAGTATAAATAATAATAAAATATTAGTCTAGTTACTTCCGCAGTGAAGCAGTCTTTTTGCCTTGTAACTAGTTTGAATCTTTATGGTTTCAGCACTTACTGTAAGTGATGTAATGTAATGTTATGCAACTTTCCTTATAACCCAAACTTGAACTTACTTGTAATATAACCGATACAACCAGGTGTTTCCTGCTGATGTGTTGCATCTCCACAAAATCAACACGTAACTGGACATTCGTAGTAACCACAGCAAATCAAGATAGATAGCAAAGAAATTAAGAAACTCATATTTAGTCATAGAAAAATGTGATTAATAAAGTACAGATATATTAGATAGATATTAGACGAAGTACGTGTGTGTCATTTTATTCCGTGGCTCTTGTTCTCTGCTTAGGAAACATGGCTCACTTCCTACACAATGTTTGTCAGGATGCAAAGAATCAGTGAGACTTTTGTAAATTCACTTCCATCTGTCAAATCTCCCTCCCTCCTTCCCTCCTTCCCTTCACCTCCTTTTTCCTCACTCCTACCCTCCCTTATCCAGCAGCCGACCCAATGCAAACAAAAAGGGTCGGAGGGCTGGATAAGTGGTCTAGATGTGTGTACAAATATATCTAGAAGACTATAGAATACCTTCCAAACACCCCCTGTGCCCAAATCCATTTCCATTAAATCCTTGGTGTGTCTGTCCTGTGTGAACTGCGGCCAGAGGTACATCCTCTCATCAAAACAAAATACAAGCGTGTGCTTCTTAAAAAAACATGCGAAACAAATGCAACCCCATGCATAGGTTGCTAATAAATTGTATTTGGAGATTATTTTTGTGGTACTTTGTTTTCAACCGGGGCTTCTGGATCATTGGCTTCGTCAAACTGAGCCTGTGTTGACTTCCCAGATGTGTTATTGTAAAAGCTTCTGCTTAGATTTCCAATTTCAACCTTTAATTTGAACTGCAATTGCATTAGGTGAGATCAAAAGAAATTCAAGCGTTTCATATTGTGCCATTCTAGGTTGAGATCAGGCAGGGATGGACTGGTGGTCCGCGAGGGTACTGCAGGTGGTCCGTGAATTTTTTTTTATTATCAAGGTTTTTCGCAAAACACCTCATATGCAAACTGTAAAAATAAGTACATATATATAAACGTCATGTCAAAACGCAGATATTTGCTATTGTTAATTATGGACAACACTTAATTTCACCACTGGTTACCCATGGTTACGTGTGAGCGTGCAACACCACAAACATGGATCGGTGGCTAGCATCAGGTTCTCTGAAGAGAAAATAGGTTAAAGGTCCCATGTCATGCTTTTCCGGTTATCACCCGTCCCCTTGTGTGTTATGAAGGTTTTTCTGCATGTAAACGGTCTGCAGAGTCAAAACCCTTAAAGTACATCCTGTAGCGAGTAAAACTCAGAAAATACCTCCCCCAAAACGCCTCGTTGGTGAAACGTCATCATCCATTTGATTCTTCCGGGCAGCACGTACCCGGAACTAAATGGGCCAATCCGTGGAGCCGTTACGTGACGTCCGCGGAGCCGTTACGTTAAGCCCCCGCTGATTGGTCCAAATTGACCAATCCACACACACACTCAGTGCATGCATGCAGCTCTGCTGATCTCTCCTCCCTGGCTGCAGGCTGATAACAGACAGTTGGGATCGCGGCGAAATTCTCTCTGCAGACCCATTCTCACAGCGTTTATCAACCTATAAACCTTTTTCTTACTCAATATCAAGCCACACTTATTGTTTTTATTTCGGCTGTGACTTTGTGTGTGTTCAGGTTGAGTTTGGCTGTGTTTGGCTGTGTATCGCTAAACAAGGAAATCACACCTCCACGGAGCTCAGCGCGATTCGTACGCGTACCGACCAATCAGAGCACACTGGGCTCACAGGGAGTGGGGGGGGGAGCTGCAGCGAGCCGTTTAGTGGAGAAAGTAGGCTTGTTTGAGACAAGCGAGACCTGTGCAGACCTGCGCAATTTCGATCAACTTAAGTTGCATGATGGTTAATCATTTTCTCCGACTTGCTCTGGAGGCTCGCTCACATGAGACGTTGAAATCTCGCGCGACAAAGACGCCCGCAGCCTTGAGAGCGAGGCGCGGCGAG